ACAATATTGATGAATCTCACAAACATATTGGAAAGAAAAAAATGCCAGATGTGAAAGAGTAATATATTGTGGAATTACATTTCCATAAAATTCACATATGTGAGTTTTTCATTTATAAGAAGTTCAAAAATAAGCAAAACTGTTCTATGGGATTTGAAGTTAGAATAGTTCTCACGCTGGCAGAGGGAATGATTACTGGAAGTTTGCAAGATGGAAGCTGGTAGGATGCTGATGATGGTCTATTTCTTGAGTTGGGCACTAGTTACATGGTGTGGTTTCTTTGTGAAAATATTAACATATTTATGATTTATAAACATTTATACAATTAATGATTTATACAAATTTATATGTACATGCTATACTTCAGTAAAAAGTTAACTTTAAAATGTCATGTTTTGCTTCTGAGGATGGTTGAGTGGCTTATATCCAACTAATTCTCTTCCCAGTAATAATTATAAACTCTGCACAAAATATTTTAAAGAAAAACATTATCTAAAGACACCAGAGAACAAACAAATGCAGGCAGAAATCAGCAATATGCCCCTTCAAATAAGAAAGGCACATATTTAACCAGCTTTTTTCCTGAGGGTATTCCCTACTTGGTTCACTGTAGAGGAGTTAGAGCTCAAACATAAAGCCTCAGTCTTACAAGGCTGAGGAGCCAGAGATGAGAATTCAGAGTTGTCAGAACACCTAGAATTGAAGGGGACTATAGAAAAGAAGGGAGCCAGAGAAGGCTCCAAAATTCTAGAGACCCAAAATTTGCACATAAAGGACCCTCAAGTCCTGGCCTGATTTATAAACCACAAAAAGAAAAACAAGAAGAAACACAGCAGAAAATGACAGCTGAGAAGGTAAAAGAGCTGCAAAGAGATTTCAGGAACATTCTGGTTCAAAGGAGACAGAGTTTGGAATTTAGGTCTCATTATATTATAGGTGTTTAGACAACATCCTTGGACTTTTCTCCAGAAAGGTCACACCTTAGGAATAAGAACCACAAACTAAACTGAGGACTATGTCTTAGAATTACGAAAAGAACCAAAATAGAACTGCCCTAACATATTTTCTATAGGATTTAGGTAAGCCTTCAGTAATTTTTCTGTGTGCTAAAATAAAATAATACATTATTCAAAATCCAGAGTTTCTAAAATGTATTAAACACAATGTCCAGTATACAATAAAAGTTAGTAGATATATAAAAAATACAATGTGATCCATAATCAAGGGGAAAAACAAAAATATAAGTAAACCCACAGAAGACTGAGATCTTGGAATTTTCAGACAAGGACTTTAAAAGTGGTATAAATACATTAAATAATTTACAGGACTACATGTATGTCTATATACATACATACACACATGTATCTTTATATAAACATCTATATCTATCTACCTACCTATCTACCTATACAGCACACACACATACACACATATGATAAAAAAAAGAAATTTCAGGAAGGATATAGAAACCTGTAAGGAAACAAGATGCAAATCTTAAAATGAAAAATATATTATCTTTAATAAGACAATTTGTATTACGATTTTCATGGAAGATTGGACACTGTAGAGGAAAATATCAGTGAACCTGAAAAGAAGTGAATAAAAATAATCAAAACTGAGGAAGAGAGGAAAAAAAGAGATTAAAAAACAGAGACCCAATAACATGTGGAACAATGTCAACAGGTTGCTATAAATGTAACTGCAGTCCAAGAAAGAGAGAAATAAGAGTATAGAGTCAAAAATTGGAAGAATGGTCCCAAATTACCCCAAATAGCTGAAATCCTAGAAAACTCTAATTATGAAATCATGTCCCTTTTATCTACTACCTCTCAACAGCATCATTTTGGATTTGTCACAATGATTTGTTCCCATTCACTTTTTCTTTGAAATCTTGTCATGAGGCTGAATGAAAATATAATAGATATGATATTCTCTATTTTAAAAAGTGAAAGGGATGATAACATTGTTTTACCAAGTGAAGAATTAACATTTGAGAAGTGAAACAGATAAATCTGGTTGATATGAGAAAAAGAAAAGAATGAAAAATCAAATTAAAACTCTGATTGGATCTTCATAGTTCAAATTGTGATAAGAATGATTATTAAATTTTCACGTAATAAACAAATATCTATTAATATAACTTCCATCATGTTAAAAGGGAGATTTTTTCCTTAAGACACTACAATTTTGACTGAAAAACAGTAAAGAAAACATAACAATAAAAATCTCAATATCAAAATACTTCCAAACAATCTCCTTATGTTCCAAAATGGTAATGAATAAAGTTTCTCATTAATGAGTAAAAAAAATCTAGTGAAAATTTGAGGTATTTTGCCATCTCAAAAAGCAGCCTCACTTCTCTAATGATGCATTTTTTTGAGACATCATCAGTAAATATCCATATACATTCAATAAGCTCATAGCCTTAAGAGTGATTTTCCTAGCATCAGAGGTTGAACTACCAAAACATCCTATTATGTAGATGTAGGGAACAAATGAGGGTTATAATACTCTTTTGACGATAACTGTTCGAGCATTTGTTCCATCCAATATGTTAATAATCATGAGCTTTGACAATACGAAACATATTTATAAATAACTGCAATATATACCCTCTCCATGGAGAAAACCCTTAAGGAGGTTTCTGTCATCAATGAAGTTTTAAAATTATTAGTATATTTATTTATTCATATCTTGACTTGTACCTGCCATTTATGAGAAATATATCCTTGGCTAATGGTAATGCTTTTAATGTCTATTCTCAAATGTGATTTCCTAGTTTTTGTTTATTTCTTTTATGTGTATGAACAGCTTTTTACTTATCTTCATGTCTACACATTGTTAATAAAATATTTATTAGAGGTTAGTTGGTAGTGACAAAACTGACATGGTACAGCATGTGGAGCCATTATATTACTCATGAGTATATTAATACTATCAACTTCTAAGTAACAGCGGAGTCATTTTGTGGATGGGAAATTCAAGGTCGATTACATTAAATTATTTGCATGAAAATTCATGACACATACAGCTAACTAGAAAGTACGCTAATCTCATTGTTCCTAATATCCACCATTTCTAATTAGCAAGGGGAAAAAATGAAAACTGTTGGTAGATTTAAGAGTTTCTGGTATTCAGAGTCCCCAAACCCACTAGTTATTGCAATAAAAACTGAAGTAAGTGGAGAAAAGGCCAACTCTATAAGGGCAATGCTGGCTAGCATTAGTAGCCTATAAATGTAAACTAATAAGAATTAGTACATAATGAATTATAAAGGTTACTACATATATTATTAATCATCACATAGTAACCCACAATTCCACACTGTAATTTGGAGAGAATGTTCTGAATAGATTATAGTGGTCAGAAAGAATAAAATTAGTTCACATAAAATTCATTGTAATGTTGTAATTATTACAACAAAGGATGTTGTAAGGGCTTTTGCGAATAGAGATGTGTTGGTGTTTTCTGTTTGGGAAGGCTGACAAAAGTAAATGCTGTAGGCCGGGCGCGGTGGCTCACGCCTGTAATCCTAGCACTCTGGGAGGCCGAGGCGGGTGGATTGTTTGAGCTCAGGAGTTCGAAACCAGCCTGAGCAAGAGCGAGACCCTGTCTCTACTAAAAATAGAAAGAAATTAATTGGACAACTAAAAATATATAGAAAAAATTAGCCGGGCATGGTGGCGCATGCCTGTAGTCCCAGCTACTCGGGAGGCTGAGGCAGGAGGATTGTTTGAGCCCAGGAGTTTGAGGTTGCTGTGAGCTAGGCTGACGCCACGGCACTCACTCTAGCCCGGGCAACAGAGTGAGACTCTGTCTCAAAAAAAAAAAAAAAAAAAAGGAGTGAAGATAATTCTGTAGGCTTACCTATTACTAACTAAACATTCCATAGGGCTAATCCTTTGCTCTAATTCTCTACTCATCGAACAGCCTTCCGACATATCATTCAGCCCCCATTCAGCAGGAATGGTATTGTCCATATAGACAATACTTATTTGTTGTGCTGCCAGGGATACTTCTCATGATTAATAAGTGACACAGCATTTGTGCTTATAAATTTACACTTCTAAAATTTGGTTAATGTCAATCAGTCCTACTGTACTTGACAAAAATGTTGCTTAATCTAGAACGTGCTAGTTCCATATAGAAAGAACTACCCCATGAATACTATCTGAAACAGCAAGCATCCATCTTACCTTCCAATAATAGATTCATCAGGAAAAAAAAAAAAGACCTGAGTTGTAAGGGCAAAGAGCCAACAATTTCACTTATCAATCTGGAAAATATTTCTGAGTTTACTTTAAGCTCCTCTGGATTGATCTAATTCTATTTTACAGTTCGAACTATGTATTAATATAATCCAAGGTAAAATGCAAATGTTGATAATAGCAAGAACAACAATAACAAAATCAATTTATATTCTTGAGATTAATTAATTCTTATAACCACCCTAGAATATAGGTATTAAAATTTCCATCTTATAAATGAGGGAAAAAATGAGGCACAGAGAGATGATCTGCCTCAAGTCATACAGCTCTCTAAAGTGAAAAAATCAAAATTTAAACTCAAGTTAGCCTGAGATTACAATTTATGGTTTCAATCACTATGCTATCCTTACTATCTACATATTCATAAAATACTTAGATAATGAAGGTGGAAATCATAATTTTGGTTATCTATAGCTATATGACCAAACTCTACTGTATTAGCTATCACATCCTCACATTTAGGATTCTAAGAACTAAGATTTAAACGTAACTGTGCTTATTTGGGTCCATATCATCCAAAATACAACCATAAAACACTTTAACATTGTGATGAGTGCTAGGAGTATAACATTATTTTAGTGTATCAAACATTTCAAAAGCTTCCATAATAGCTATAGAAAGACTAACAGATGCCTGTTGATACCACAATGGTATGTTAAAATTCTGTGTTAGATATATCACTCAAGATTAGGAAATTTAATAAAAACATGACAAATTTTAATGAAAACTTACTTTGCAACCTCCGTGTTGGGCTCTCTCCATGGAGTTGTCTTCGTGGCATATATGGAGAAGGGTGGGGAAGTGGCAATGAAGAGACATCATGGGTCTGAAGTTTGTACCAATGTGGTTCATCATCTAATAATGCTGTTTCTAATTCAATTAAAATCTGCAAACCCAAGATACAAAGGACTGTTATATTATAACACTAATAAAGAAAGTCTAGTAAATGGTCTTAATAACTTTTCTAGTAATAATTATGACAGCAATGCTATTAGATCAAAACACGGTTATTTAGATGTTGCAAAATAGTCAATATGTTTTGACAGTAACTAAATAAAAGATAAATTTTACAACTTCCTAGTGATTTAATAGTTTTAAATATCTAAGACATTTATTTTGTTGGCCCTTGACCATCCAACTAATAAAGGCTGTTAAATTTACCACTACAGAAATAATACTTTATATTACAAAATGACTATGATAATACCTAATATTTATATATCATTTTATAACTTATAAAGCACCTTTATTTACAGTCACTAATTTAACCTTTACATGCAACAACTTGAATGGAACTAGGGACCATTATCCTAAGTGAAGTACCTAAAGAATGGAAAAACAAACACCACATGTACTCACTATTAAATTGAAACTAACCAATGAGCACACATGTGCACAGAAGGAGATAAAACTCAGTGGAAATCAAGTAGTGGGAGGAGGGAGGAGGAGAGGGGAAAAAAACCTACCTAATGGATACCATGAACACTATTTAGGTGGTGGGCACACTTATAGCTGTGACTCAAGCATTACAAAAATGATCCATGTAACCAAAAATATGTGTACCCCTTAATATTTTGAAATAAAACTTTTTAAAAAGAACTTTTAAACAGGGAGAGAAAAACAAATTTGAAGTGCTTACCATGTATTTTGAACCATGTCATGTTATTTATCATAATTATCAGAAGAAAACTACTAGTTTTGTCTTATTATTTAATGTTTGCAAATAAGGATACCAAGGCTAAAAAGGTTAAAAGAACTTGTCTAAGGTCACACAAGCTTGTAAGCACGAGAACTGTAATATGAATCAGTCTATCTTATTTAAAATTCCGTGTTCACCATACCATGCTGCCAAGGATTTAAAAAACAAAAGGGGGCATGGTGGCTCGTGCCTGTAATCCCAGCACTTTGGGAGGCCAAGGCAGGAAGATCCCTTGAGCCAAAGGAGTTTGAGGCTGCAGTGAGCTATGATTGCACCACTGCACTCCAGCTTGGGCACCAGAGTGAGACCCTGTCTCAAAGATAGATAGATAGATAGACAGATAGATAAAACCGGAAAGAGGAAAAAAGCATGGACTTTTAATGTGAACCATATTATAATATGGATTTTATGATATGAATATTTAAAAATTTACAAAGGAAATCACTTTGTAAATATAAATGACTATTTTCTTTTAGGGTGTTGTACAAGTATTAAAGTGTTGTGCTTTTTTTTATAAGAATTGCTATATAAAGATAAATTACTATTCAGCTATACAAGGTAAAGAAGCAAAACAGCTAAGTTATTATTTCATTCTTTGTAAACTTTCCCCAGTCATTTTTAAAATTACAGGCATTATGTTCCCAATGTTTGCTCACACATACACAACACACTTATTTAATCCTCATATCAACCCTGAATTGCATACTAGTACTATCTCCAGTTGGCTAAAGAGGAAACTGAAGTACAGATGGGTTAAATAACTTGCTCGAAGACACAAGGCTAGGAAGTGGTAATGCCAAATACATAGAGGTCAGGCAGCTGGCTCCAGAATCTCCATTCCTAACAACTGTGTTACTCTTCTTCCCAAATGAGTTTTAGGTTTATCACTCTGGTTCCTTAACTGACAACATTCAGTTCAATATTTCTACAGATTGTTGTTTTTCCCATGAGATACCATTTAATTTACTCAGGAAAACCAACCATACTGAAAAAGGCTGAAAGTGGATATCTTAGCATACTAATAGCTGGATAATTGCTTCCCATCTTGCCCCTCTCCAATTCATTCTCCACATTAGAGCTGGAAATACTTTTCTCAAGTACAAATGCAAACAAACCATTCTCCTATTAAAGAGAATTGGTTATTGGTCATTGGTTCCCATTATCCACAGGATAAATCCAAATTTCTTAATATATGAACAGCATGATCTAGAGTCAGTTTAACCCTCAAATCTCATTTCTTACCACTTTCCCTTCCAATTGCAATGCAGTTGTCCAATACCCATCATCCATGATGTCTTATTTCCCCCTGCAGGAATTTCATTTCTCTTGACTTTGCTAAATTTCTCTTTCTTTGTGAAGATTTCTCTTAATCACTGCCCGCTCCCCTTTACAGCAATTATGTATTCCTATTGCATTTTCCCCTTTATAGCAAGGGGTATGCCATATTATAATTGCTATTCACTTGTCTGTATCACCAATGGATTTTAAATTCCTTGAAGTAAGTATTATGCCTTATTCACCTTTGAAGCCTCAGTTCCTAACACAGTGCCTGGTACATTATAGAGTTTAAAAAATAATCCATGAATAAATGACTGAACTACTTACTAGTAGTTGAGTTGGTTCGGTAAACTAACTAAGATATATGCAACATTATAAAACAAAACAATATATTTGTGAAATAGAAAGCAAGCTTTTATCACTAAACACTGAATTTTCTATATTAAGAATAACCATGCAAAATTGTCAAAGACTATTTAGAACCATTGTTTTCTCTGGTATCAATAAGTTTTTTCCTAAAGCAGTAGCTAAATTCATCCTGTTAAAGAAATTATGCCTGCCTTTTCAGATATACTAAATATAAAATTTCACTGATAGTAATATGAACAAAAAGTATTTAGAATGACATGAATAGTGTAAACTTTACAATAATTCGAATACCTCTCCTAAGAATTCACTTTCTTCCTCCCGAACTCGAGCTTGATCCCAAAGAGTAATCTCCAGCATTCGTTCCCGAAATTCTCGTCGGTGGACTGGAGAATAAATGAATGTTTGGTTCCATTTGGGTTCTAATGTTTTCTTTACTGTTTTAGTTCTTCTCTTGTTTTTATCACTATGAAAAAAATAAGAATATATGAACTTACACAAAACTTTAAGTTTTGTCCTAAAATTAATTAATTTAAAATTTCTCAGACAAGTGAAGTTTTACCACAAATTTATCATAGATTGCAAATATTATGATCTTTAAAATTACTATTAAAATTCTAAAAGTGTCTAATTATATCATATTTTTTTTCTCAAGAAACAGGGTCTCACTCTGTTGCCCAAGCTAGAGTGCAATGGCATGATCATAGCTCATTGCAGACTCAAACTCCTGACCTCAAGTGATCCTCCCACCTTAGCCTCTCAAAGTGCTGGGATTACAGGTATGAACCACCAGGCCCAGCCAATTGTATCATACTCTATAAGTATGACTTATACAAACATTTCAATAAATCTTAAGTTTTTTCAATGATAGATAATTAAAAAATTAATCTTTCTAAAAATCTAACTAAAACCAGGCTTGAGAATCTTAACTTTAAAATTTTTAACATATTGCCATATTGAAAGCCTTCAAAATGATAATTAACCAGTAATATACCATTCACTTAAACTACAGAAGTCTTAATGTACAAAAAAATAAATAAATTGTGATGTTCACAACTTCATATCCATATAGTTTAGCTAATGAGCAACTGCAATTTACATATTATGAAGTTACTTATATATACTTACATACTTATATATACTTACATATAAAAAAACACATATTTGCTTATTTGACATATATCAGGTCTTTAAAAACATTGTAAAATTATTTCTATATTAAGTAGCCACTATAACTTGTGCTGGAAATGCAAGATGGCCATTTGACAATCATGACTTCCGGCTGAAAGGTTTTCATACTCTTTTTAATTGCATATCTGTATCAAGTGAATTTTTAAATTATGCATTTCATTATATGTACATATATTTATGAATTGTATACATGTGTTATCATACTGTTGTACTAATATATTGTGTACATTAGGAAATATACTAAAACAGAAATTTAAAATAATGAGATTAAAAATTCAACTATTTCTTCCTGAATTCTAATAAATTATCCTACATATCCCGTAGAGGGTACATCCATCCTACTTGTATTTTATTAGAGAGGATCACTGGCTGGATAGGAATAAAGAAAATGATCTAGGAAGTTAATTTTAAGCTATCTAAGAGACTATTTAAAGTGAAAAGTGGGCCTGGCACAATGGCTCACACCTGTAATCCCAGCACTTTGGGAGACTGAGGCAGGAGGCTCGCTTGGGGCCAGGAGTTCAAGACCAGCTTGGGAAACATAGCAAGATCTGTCTCTACAAAAATTTAAAAATTAGCTGGCGTGGCAGTGCACACCTGCAGTCCCAGCACTTTGGGAGGCCGAGGTGGGAAGATCACTTGAGCCCAGGAGTTTGAGGCTACAGTGAACTATGATGATGTTACTGCACTTTAGCCCAGAGGACAGAGTGAGACTCTGTCTCGAAAAATAAATAAATAAAAGTGAAAAGTAGACAGACAAGGAACAATATTAACTGCTACAAATTCTCCCAGCATAGCACAGTTCCAAAAGTGTTGAGAAATAGGGAGGAGAAAGAACAGAAAACGGTTAGGGTATCTCTGAAATGGGGAAGCTATGAGACTTCTTCTCCTAGGAATGTTAATGTTTAATATAGATTTGACTTGAGTAACCAAGAGGCATTGTATGTTTCCAGAGCACATTGATTTAATGTGGCAGAAAGCTGCCTTTAAATAGACAGCTTGATAAAATGATAATGAATTTTGCTAATACACATGGAAAAGATAACATGCATTGTATATTTATTAATTTTGAAAGCATTGGTAGGAACATAACTTTGCAAACCCATGTAGGAGACTTTATATATGGAAAAGAAGTGTATATATGTGTATATATGAATAACTCACTAAACAGACATAATAACATGAACTATGATTCACGATCCTTCTCTCTCCCTCCCTTCTTTCAAAATTTTAACAAATATTTCTTTAGCATCTACTTATATTCCATCAATGAAGAATGAATTCTGAGACTCTGTCAAGAGATAAAGTTCCTTCCATGAAGGCCAGGAAGAAAGTATATACCAGGAGCTTTGCTATCTAATTCAAGAATGGTTTATACTTAAATATGAAAGGAAATAGAAGAATAAATGATGAACTTAAGGACTAAAATAAGTTCTCAGACAAAAAAATGACAATTTTAGAAGGCATTGGATAGGAAGAGGACTAGATAATCTACATTGGATAGAAAGGGGACTGGATAATTTCTGACATTCCTTAGAAAGCCAACATATATGATTACAATTTAATAGCAATTTAATGTGTATCAAAGCATCGTTTCATAAAAAGAACCATAAAAAGTAATCTTATCTTTAGCAAGTTAAAAAAAAAGTTTTATTTTTTCTAGAAGTGTAACCAAAGGCTTCAGAATCAGAGCATTCTATATAAGTCAAACACTGAAAATGTGCTAATAGTATTTAAAAACTAAGATCAATAAGCATGCTATAGAGCTATTTTTAAAACAGCAGCCTAATGATAATAAAATCATGATCTTTAAAAGCAACATTAAATTGTTCAGAATACAGTTAACTTTTTTAAAAATAAAATCCAATCTAAACCTGTATTTACTTTCATGTTACTGGTACTTTTGGTTTCCATTTAATTTCACTAAGAACATGCAAAGACTTGATGTTTTGATTCAAAATAAAAAAAAAGAAAGAAATATATTTTGATTGGTAACCAACTTGACTTCAAAATATAAAAAAGAGTGTACAGCACGCCCAGTTAATTTTTAGAGTACACAGTATATTACCTAGAAAATAATTTTCCAAATGGCTTAACTGACATTCTAGACTAGATCTCTTCTATGTAGTTTCACTTGCCTCTCCCGGAAGTCTTATTGATAAAAAGGCATCAATCATTTTCTATGTTTACCTGTTCAAGTATTTCTTCCAAAAAAATTGTTACGAAAAATGAAATATTTCATAACAAAAGCACAGTCCTTTATGTGTTAAAAACTTCTGTCAACAGCAAAAAAAAATTGTTGCGAAGAGAATGTAACTTTCTGAGTTGAGCAGAGAATTATTTTCACAATTAGAGATAAAAAAAAAAAAATCCTGACACAACCTAATCAACAATGTAAGCTACAAAATTTACTCAAATAGTCTTCAAATTCCTTATAACTGACAAGGAACTTAGCCAAAAAATAATCTGAGAAGAAATTATTTAAATGCCTCCTACATTCTTTGGTGTTGAAAAGAAATAAAAAGAACTACATCTGGAATATAAAGGATTGGTAAGAAGACCTTCCTTTCCATTTTAGCTCTATCTGCTCAGGATCCAAGGAGAGGGGTTATTTAAAAATAAAACTAAACAAAACTAGTCAATCAAGAAAGAAATTCGGTAATTTGCAATATTTTCATCATCTAGCAAATAAGTGTTTCTCTTCAAAGGTTTGAATATGTAGAAACTTAAGTCATGTGTGTGCATAAAAACATAGATGATTATGGATGTCCTCTCCTTCCCTTACGTTTCAACATGAATCTCTCTCCAAAAGTCAAACTAAGTTGTTAGAGAATAACTTTCTTCAAGTCAACTTTATAAGATAAAATTCTATAGCAGTTTCTAATAACTTTAGAGGTTGTGGCATCTTGACATATTCTGAGGAACTGATTATACAACTTTCACTTCAAAATATGTACTAAATAAAATATAAGGCCTTTGTCAATTCTCTACTTCCTTTCTTTTGTCCTTTTCTTTGCTGATGTTGTTGTTCAGATCTTACTCTGACACTCAACTGAGGCTTGATGACTTTCTGCTTGAACCAAGTATGAGTAACTAAGTAACTGAGGGTCCAAAAGTGTGTAAACATGTTTAAGATCACATCTGTGCCCAGACACTTCCAACCTGAGAAAAAATGACCAGACCTTGAGAGGTCTTGCTTTGGGAGATATGGATGCAGACAGCAGGGGTAAGGGTAATTGGTGCCGTTACTTTCTTCTTTTTTCATGATGCCCATTGAATAGTCTCTTATTTTTTATATGTCTAAAATTAAGAGTGATTAGGTTATTTTTGATATTTCTCCAATCCTAATTCCTCTATTTAAGTCAGGGTAGAACAAAAACGTTTATGTGAATTAGAATACACATAAAACAAAAATTCTTGGGGAGGCTGATTCTGGTAAAGTTTTCTTGATGATATGGGGTGATGAAATACAAAGCACGCTTGTTAATTTTATAAAAGAGAGAAACATTATCTTGGTAAGTACGTAAAAATTTTTGATGTTGATAAATGAAAACATACATTATTTAAGAAATAATCCACACATGCCTAAAGTTAATATTCAATAATATATACAATAAATATTTAATGTAAGCTTTAAAACAATCTTAAATATTTACGGTCGCTATTTTGATTTCTAAGAATCATGATAAGCTTCACAAGTATCTGACTAGTATGATACAGAAAAATAAATGATACAGGACATTGAAATATTCATTGCTATTAACGTTTTCCCATTTATTTTTGTTTTATATCCCTACCTTCTATCTGGAAGAAAGTAAATTTTAACATAAGGATTCCTTGGCCTCCCATCTTCCCTCGAAGGGAGATCCTTTGCTCCCAAAATTGTAACTATTAATTGGTGACCAACCTTGTCAAACCACAGTTTTATCTGAAAAGCAAAAATATTTACTTATCAGCTGAAACATTTAATATGCAAACATAATATTTACATTTCAAATCCACCCCATTCTCTTACACTAATGTTAGCACAGAATATAAATTTTACTCAGCAAATTGTGGTTAGTTAAAATAAAAGGATATACTATAATAACTTCAATGAATAAAAGAATGATTCAGATATTTCAGTTTTAATGATAAATCACTTAAGCTTTTTATTCTTAATGTGATTGCTTATTAACATGCACATAATAATTATATTATCATAATTAAGGACTTTATACACAATGATTGCTCTATTACTTTCCTTATGCAAGAATCACTGTAGTTCATTTTGGTTCCCCTACAATACTGACCTCAGAATAAGTGCTCAAAATGAATTGAGTGAATAGTAACTTGTTTACATAACATTCATAGGGAATTTTCAAGTAAATGTTTTATGTTATTCTATAGCAACAGACACTTAAAAGATTATAAGCAAAGGGGATTTACTAGTAGCTTTAGTCAATAGATTACTTCAGTTTGTACTTAAAACTATAATAAATTCATTTTTTTAAATTTTCTTACTCAGACATAAAGTCTCCTTTTATTTTGTGAAGCAAATGTATCACATTCTTAAATAATAAGAGTTCATTTTATTATTTGAGATAAGAAAATGTGAATAATTTCCCTGTGCCATAATTAGTGATTGGAATTTCACATTCAGCTTCTGAATTCATTTGATTTAACAGTTAACACCTCCCACACACATACCTTACACCCTCACACCTAGCTAGCAGATTCTATGTCAGGATTTATAACTATGGCTCTCATCCACATCTTGGTTCAGAATTCTGTATATCTGTAACCACTATCTTGAAACTGAAATGGAATCAGAAATTTGGAACTTGAGAATAACAGGTAAAATCAATTCTGGTTACATAGGAAACACTGGCAGTTAAGTTCCAAGTCCAGTATGGCTTTTTTGAGTCTCTCACTCCATATCTTAGAGAATGAGAGACTAAGCAACTCAGAAGAGGTGGTCTGACAGCCCAAAAGAGTATATAAAATTATTTCTATCCTTTTGTTTCTTTGATGAATGGAATTAGCCCTTTTATGGGAATAAGTAAGAAATATCCAAATTTTAAAACTTATAATTACTAATCTATATGTTGTGTTAAGTCTTTATGTTTAATGCAGGTATTATCTTACTATTGTATAAGTTTTTCTAATAGAGCCGCTAAGTACAAAAATAGACCCTAGACAAGTGTTTCTCTAACTATGGTTAACAAACTTCCCATGTCAGTATTACCTGGCTTATTTACTAAAAAGTTACAAATTCCTGGGCCCCACCTCTCACCTACAGAATCAAAATGGGGCCTTGGAATTTGAATTTTAACAAGTCCTGCAGGTGATCCTCATGTGCATTAAAATTTGAGAACCACTGCTTTACATTAAGAGATCAACAAACTGAAGAAAAAAGTTTTGAATATTTGAAAGGAAAAAGTTCAAATATTTGCTTGCCTAACAATATTAGAATACACATATAGATAAAGATAAGGAGGAATAAGAGACTAAACTATTCTTCTGGCAAAAAAACATGAGAGGAAAGCGAAGAAAAAAGAAATGCAGGAGTGTCTAATTGCATATGAGATGATAGAGATGTTATAGATTGCATCATGGTTCCTCCTAAATGTGTGACCAAAACGAGATTAGTTACTATGGTATGCTCTGTTTTCACCAGTAATAAAAGAGCTTATGATTATTTTTTCCAAGACACTAAAAATCTTTCTCTGAGGCTTATGACATGAATATTAGGCACCTCAAAGAGAAAAAGATTGAACAAGGCTAAAAAATTTCTTTTCCAATAAACTTTACACTTAAGAAACAAAGAAACAATAATTATTATGAGACTAGGCTTAAAATTATTAGAGGAAATTACTGACTTCGTTGGGAATTTTTTGAGGGGTTGAGACTAAGCACTTGTTGCCATCTCCATAGATAATATTTTTGCACCTTTAGAATCATTAGAACTAACATTTCAGATACATATTTCAAGAGTCTGATAAAGACTATTCTTTTCATATTTCCTTATGCTATGGAAAACCAAAAAATATCATGTACTAATATTATCCATTTCTCATACAAATAGATGGTAAACACATAGCTTTCTTATTTTTATAATAATATT